CAGAAACAAATATTAACAGTTAAGAAATAATGTTAATACAATAATAATAACACATAGAATTCAAAATATTTATAGCCTATTTGAGAATCACCTTATAAAAAAATATAAAATCCTCTATCTCTGTATAATCTTGGGGGATTGATGCATTGTTTATCTCTTGAAAGTAATAATTGCCTATTTATTATATAGAGCAAGCTTTTTTGTTTTAAATACAAACTTAATGTAATTATATTAAAAATTCACTTACTAGAAAATCCAAAAATATATATATATAAATTATATTTAGTACTGGATACACCAAATATCTCCAAATTGGATATTATAATTTTTTAGGTTTTTACTTTATCTCTTATTATTCCAAGAAACAAATTTTTCTAATTTTATTTTGATTATTGAGTATTTTTTTGGGATCAACTTTATATGGACGGGTTCCTTCAATGTACACTATTTGATATTTATTTGCATATGTGGTAAATCCTACTCTATTACCTTTGCATGATTTGATAGTAGGATTTCACCACTGTTAATATACAAAAAATACAATTAATTTATATATAAATAATAATATTTTATAATAATTTAAAAAAATAACTCATAAAGTATAATAAACCTTTGTACAATAGAAAAGAGTGGCCTTTAAATATAGATATACAAAATCATTCAGGTATGAATGTTCAAGAGTATTTGCATTAAGAAGTGGATTCATAAATCTTAATGAAAGATCTATAAGCTTAATATCAAAAAAAAAATACTTCAGGAAAATGAAAGATTATATAAAATACAGTAAAAGTTTGTAATTATTATTTTTTTAGACTGCTGCTCAAATATACTTACAAATTTTCAATGTATTTATAACAACTTTAATCGCTGTTTTGGTAATATCTTTAGTATAATTCTTATTAATATTTAAATTGTTTACAGATTTCGTCTATTGCTGTTGCATCATACTCTTAAAATTGTTATTAAGAAAAATTTGCCAAATCTATAATATTTATATTGAAGGTTGAAATATTGTTAACCACTCTGGCTATACAACTTTAATTGCATATTTATATCAACTTGGAACATCTAATTTAACTTTAATGTTAATTACTGAATATAAAAGTAAAAGTTCTGTTAGAATTTATTTATATCTTTCTGAATAGCAAAAAAAAGATTGTTCATCTAAAATAATTAATTCAAGCATTAGTAATATTGAGATAATTTATTTTAAAATTTGATAATATTTTATTTAGTACAGTTGTCCTCCCATACAATCACACAGTTGGGCACATTGTAACTTTTTTTTAAAATGTGCTTACAGGGGGTTGTGCTTATATAGAAGTTTTTTTTTTATAAATTAAATAATAGTTTGGCTTAAATAATAATGTGATAGCCTATAATGTAATTATATGAGAGGTGACTATATGGAGGGATGACTGTATTAATAATTTATTACTTAAATACTTGTTTTTTAGACTAGCCCAAACATACAATCTATTAAACTAAATAGCCAAAATAATAAAGATTCAGTAATTTACAATTTTTTTTTTAACATTATATAAATACTAATTTAGTACTTATTATTATATTGAATTAGATATATAAACTTTAAAGATATTAATAACCCAGTAATGCAAAATATGAGTTTTTATTTTTTTATTTTTTTTTGATTTATATAAACATTTAAAATATTAATTTTCTTAAGTATGCTTTTTTTTTTAGATAAATCCTGATCTTCAAACTCATGCACTATTATTAGCTTTTCAAGCTAACTCTGCTATTCAAACCTGCCCTAGTATTTATAGTTCTGGGAACTCTTATCCTAATGCATTTAAAAAAAATTCAACACTTGGGGGCCATCAACTCTTGAAATAGAAAAAGAAAAAAAAATTACAAATTATTAATAATTTTACATTATAGCTAGTACTATAAATTTTAAATAATATATATAATACAGATGACCCTCATCTGTTTTAAATTATATTGATAGTGATATTAACGAGGGTTTATATTAAAGTTAATATATAAGAGGAAATTTTGATATATAAAAATTCAAAAAAATTTGGTTTTTGCTTAGATTGATATTAACAAAGTTGATATTAACAGGGTCATGTATATAACCAGTATTTAGAGGTGCGATCTGTAAACTATTAGTTAATATAAATAAACTGTAGTTTATTGTAAAACTGTAGTTTTAAAATAAACTACAGTTTATTTATATATACTATAATTCACAGTTTACATCTCTACCAGTATTATAAGGTATATAAACTCACTTAATAAAGTTTAAATTCCAATATTATTGGAATTGATAAATAAAATTAATTATATTATTGACCAGTGCAGATCATAATAGCCTGAAGGATAAAAATATTTTTAATCACTTTTAAAAAACATATCTATAGTGTTTTTACACTATTTCTCAAAAACATACTAAGTAAATAGGATTGAGCTCTCTAAGTAAAAATGTTCAGAACCCCCAAAAACCTCATGAGAACTAAAACCAGGCCCTTATATTAGCTCTATAATATATTATATAAAAAAATAATAATTCTTAATTTCCTAACCCTAACTCTAAATTTTATTAAAAGAAATTATATATAGATGCAAAACACCATAGGTGCGTTTTATAATTGTTTTTAATAATATATCTAATATATTTTTATAATATTTATATTATATTATATTTTTTAATATTTCAATTATATAATAAAAATAATTTAATTATATTATAATTATATTTAAGCAAATCTATGGGTTTCTGTAAAGTATGTCTTTACATGGGGACCCCACAGCAAAAGGAGGCAATGAGCAAAAAATTTTTTTTTTAAATTCAATTTTCTTGAAGAATTGAAGTATTAAAAATATAATTTTTATAAAATTACAAAATCAAAATTTTTTACCCACTGCCGCTGTAGGGGTTCCCATATCTGATTTCATTACAGCTGTTATCATAATTTCTGAAACATCTGATCCTTAAGATTATCAATCAATGCATTTATAAGCTACTCAAGCGAAATACAGTAATTAGAATTAAATGAACTTAGGTTCATAACTCTAGTATGAGCAAGATTCGTGAAGGGTATTTAAATGGTAAATAAGGATTTATGTTCGTGATTAGTGAACTTGCTTTGCTGATTTTTAATTCCATTGACTGACAAACAATTTTTATGCTCTCGAGTCGAATGAAATTATTAATGCGAAGGAATTGATTTGAAGGTATTAAGTAATGGGAAATAAGTGTTTATGTTTATTATTCGTGAGCTTATTTTTGTTTTAATTCCATCGGCTTATAAATATTCTTACTCACAGTTGAATGAATGATTAATGCGAAAGAAAGTAGGTGATTTATGTTTTTTATTTGCGTACTTGTTTTTACTGATTTTAATCCCGTTGACTAATAAATAATCTTTAAACTCACGAATTGAATTAAATGATTATTGAACCTATTAACTAACGAATTGAATGAAATGATTAATTCGAAGGAAATGATTTCAGGTAAGGGAAATAAGTATTTATGTTCATTTTTTGTGAACTAATTTTACTTATTTTTAATTTCATTGGCTAATAAATAATCCTACTCGCGGGCTAAATGAATTATTAATGTGTCAGAAATAATTTAATGGCTATTAGGTGATGAGAAAAAGTATTTATTTGCAAACTAATGGTCTTTATACTATGAAATGATTAATGCGAAGGAAGTGATTTGAAGAGTATTAGGTAATGGGAAATACTGTAAGTATTTATATTCATGATTCGTGAACTTGTTTTGCTGGTTTAATTCAATTGACTAATAAATGATCTTTATATTTACGAACTGGATGAATGGTTAATGCAAATGAAATGATTTGAAGTAATGGTAAATAAGTATTTATGGAATTATTTATGAACATGGTTTACTGACTTTAATAATAGAAGATATTTATACCTACGACTTGAAAGAAAATAATTTGAAAAGTATTATGCATTAGTGACAAGTATTTTACGTTTACTAACATATAATATTGATTTTTACTGTGCTTATTAATATTCCCAGTTAGGTTGCATTATTTACTGGGTGTTTAAAAATCATTAATATTAATAAGTCTTTTATTTAAAGTAACCTCGTATAGAGATCATGATTATAATGAAAATTATAATGATCTCCAAATAAAGCCATTTTTAAATAAAAAACTTGTTTAATGATTCTTAAACACTCGGCATATAATTTTCTACATCGATTAAGGTGCATTAAAATGGGACAGACGTATTATTGAACAGAGGTCCAAAAACTCCTCGGAGGTTGGCATTGATTGGTTATCAGTAAGCATTTTAACGTAATTTTATAATGTAGTTAATATTTGTATTAGATTTGTTTATAATTAGAAGTTGAGTTAGAATATTGTTGCTTTGATTAGAGATACAGTAAATTAGTTAGAGTAGGGTTAGGGATCGGTTCTAATTATAATTAGAAGTTGGTTAAATTTTGGTGTTTTGATGCTGTAGCTTTTCAAAATTATAATTATTATCGTATTAAATATAATTTAATAAAAAAATTAAACTTTCTTGATTCAAAATCAGATGGATGCACGAACAATTTTATTATTTGTTATAACTCGAATATTAAAATGGATGTACTGTACAATTTAGAAATTGAAAAAAAATATACAAATTTAGTAAAATCGGATAATTCGACTAGCAAAAATATTTTCCCATTAAATTATAAATTCTTTAACAGTTAATTATTGGTGAATAAATGACAATTTTCATTTAAAATATCAAGTATATATTTCATCACTTTATTTAGGTGGTTGATGACATACGAGATGTCAGATGCTTTACAATTTGCAAATCTACCAGGTTGAGCTCCGGATGATCATGTGATTGTCCGGAAATCAATCCAAACGATCATTAATGATATCATCGATTAATTAATAATAAATAGTAGAAACTATATTTTAGATAGTGTCGTGAAATCACTAAGTGTGACTTATAACTTTATAATGACTTAAAAAAAAGTCCAATAATTATTTGTTCTATTATTGCTTAAGTGCGTGATAATTTTCATAATGTTTTAAGAAAAAATAATGTCCAGTAAAACTTTCACTACACTCTGGACAATTGATTTTTAACGCTTTCTTATTTTCAAATGTTTTTGGTGTTGGAGCCTATAGAAAATCAAAGTAAATAATTCTATTGTATAAATAATATAATAAGTAAATAAACAATAACAACATAGGGTGCTCATGATGAATTACATTTCCATCACATCTGTACACCCAGATTTTTTTTGCTTTGGGTCAATTAGCCAACCGAGTGTAACAGCTGTTCTAGGTGCAAAATAGTCATGCATAAATTTATGGTCTAGTTCTTCCATTATTTTGCTTTTTATAAATAATCTCTTTGCTATTCTTTAAAAAAAATAATAAAAAACAAAATAAATATTTGAATTTTGATCTTTTTTCAGTATCACTAACCTCAACAACTAAGGTAGGAGTAAAAGGCTGTCCTTGAAAAATCCAGCATTGTGAATGAGTCAATTTGTACGATATACTTTTAGGTGTAAAAGAGATGTCAGGTGCTCTTATTGTTCTTTGGCCTCCAACATTAAAGTCAACCCAAATAGTAAAAAGAATTATATAAACTCTGTGTTTTTTGGTATCACTATTTTGTTGAGAAAAAAGATTCTATAAACAAAGTTTTCTGGCAATTTCTGCAACAGTAACTTCTATAAAATGTGTGGCTATTTGTCCTATCGTGTTTAGATCACAGGGTTTTCATTAATCTCCAAAGTATGCATTTTTAGTTTGTCATTAATAAGTTCAAATTCTTTAATAGTATAGGAGTGATTGAGATCTATATTGTTAAGAGATATTTTTTGTTCTGACATATTCGAATACAAAAGTCAAAAAAAAAGAAGATATTAATGAGAATTTGTGAGATTAGATGATCTTATATTACACAAGTTCTATATCCATTATTTTGACATATTTCAAAGTATTTAAAGAATTAGGATAACACCCTTGATAATACAGTTTATAAACAACCATAAAAAGAACACTAGTGATGGGAAGTAACTAAATAATGTGTTAAATAAGTAGAGGGTATAGATTATCTGCATTATAATAGAGTTATTCAACATACCACAACTCCTGCAATTCCAAATATAATTATTATAATAGTTATAATCGAAGTAATACAGGTAATATGGAATATTATAAAAACTTAAGGGCATTTTACAATTCAAAATTAGCAAGAAACGACCAAATCATAAAATATCATTTTTGAAAGCATGTGAGCGAACTTCATTGGGATACAAAATTTTTATAAGAAGGCCACTAAAAATTATGATTGATTGTTATAGTCCGGTGTGTAAAGAGCTGCATCTGCAAAAAAAGACTTGACTATAGTTGTTAAGTGAAACTTAGGGGTTTCGCCAAAAAATTTTAAAACTGGCGAAGTTAGGTGAAACCAAAAATTGGTAAAAAAATAAAATTGAAAGTTGTAAAAATAGTAAACGAAGGCTAAAGGTAAAGCTTAAAAGGTTATAGAGAGTGTTGATTTACAAGTTCTAGTAGGACTTCACAAGAGTATTAGTAAATAATTCTAGTGAAGTATTAATTTATCTTTCAAGCGACCACTTCCAACTTTGGCTCATTGAAATTATTTGACAAGTTTTAACTTCACAGCCTGCTCTTATGATCATTGCAAAAATCCAATATTAATGCTATACAAAAAAAAAATGAATAGTCTATTGGATAATGATATATAATGACGGTTATGAAGATTTGACAGAATGGGATGCATTCATGATAATTAAAAAAAAATAAAAAATCTGGATACTCAAAGAAAAGAACGGCTTATTGTCATGTTTTTCTTTTTTTTTAATTAAAAAATTTATGATTTTGAAGGTTTATTGGGGATTTATTTATATGTGCCAACGAAATCTATCTTCATTATACTGCTTTTCGTTAAGCATAATCGAAAAATTAGTTTATTATTATTATTATTAATGATAAAAATAAAATTTCGGATCCGCCTTACTTCATTTCATTGACAACTCACTTAGTCGACGTCACGCCAAGTGACAATTTACTAAAAATATATACCCGCAACTAATAAAACGCCAATCCTAACCCTATGTGATGTCGGCTAAGTGAACTTTCGGTGAAATGATTGTGAAGTGAGCAGCACCGAAAATTTTACGCTATTTTTTTACATTTCCCGATATAAACTTGTTTGCTCAAAGGTTATATACCTCTTATTGTCGGATTGATTTTGTTTAAAGAATTCATTTGTGTAAATAAATTTTTTTTTTGTTTTTGAAGTAATGTTGTGTGACTATTTTTATTATTGTTGTTACAGTATTTTGATTTCAAAATAATGTGATTAGCGTTATGTTAGGTTTAAATTGCAATTCAGGTCTATAACCCAAGGCGGCATCCATATTTTACGTTAAACCAGTACTGTATTGTTATTATTATATCCTATAACGGTATTGCTCGCTTCACCGACAATCATTTCACCGAAAGTTTACTTAGCCGACATCGCATAAGGTTAGGATTAGCGTTTTATTAGTTGCAGGTACGTATATATTTTTAGTAAATTGTCACTTGGCATGATGTCGGCTAAGTGAGTTGTCGGTGAAATGATTGTCGGTGAAGTAAGGCGGATTATGATTATAATAACCTGAAATTTTTTCGCATATATATAAATTTATTTTTACATAGTAATGAGATAACAATAATACACATACTGAACATAACGCAGATATCGGAAATACGATGTTCTAACTATTCCTAAAACTATATCTACTATATTGCTATTCGGAGAATTTCATACTGCGGATTCAAGGGATTTTAGGGATCTCGAGATTCGATTCGATTTCAAGGATTGTACCGCAGGAAATTCGGGCCTTTTCACAACGCATGTACGTACGTACGCAGTACGTATGTTTGTTTATAAAAGAATTCTTCAAAACAAAGCTATTTTTCCTATGACTTGTTCTTACCCTAGCACGAAAGAAAAACAACACTTGCACTTGCCTTAACCCTAAACACAAAAAAAGTATAACCGCGCGTACGTAGTATCAAAAATTTTGTACGTATAATTTTCGGACGTCTGCCCGATTGAAATGGGTAAGGGATATATCCTAAGGGTACACAAATCCGATTTTTACGGTAAATTTTTCATTATTAAATTCAAATAGTTTAATATTGTCTCCGGTTAAATTAACAAAACAGTCTTACATGGATCTGTAAATATTAAAATTAATAGTACTTGTCTTTGTTTTATCGCAGAAAACTGCATTACACTGCATTAGTCGTTACCTTTAGCTTTAATACAAAAAAAAATCTTTAATAAGCACCTTCTAAACGTATTTTTCCTTGTAAAATTTTTTTTCGTATAATACAATACACTATGTCTGAAACTCACTTCTTTGAACAAAAAGATGGATCGAAAATTGCATACAGAATTTTCGAGCCAGAAACTATTAAAAATGAGATTCCTCTTGTATTAATCATGGGACTGTAAATATTGATATCTAATAATTATTAAGTACTTTTATCTTATCGTTATAATATATTTATTAACTTAACCGTAATTTTTAACTAAATGTTAAATCAAGTGGTGGCACTAAAGAGACCTTTATGGGCTATGAAGAAGGTATAAAAATTTATTATTACTACTATTGTTATTTTTATTGATTTATTACCTATATATAACTATATAACTTATTTTTTCAATAATCATTAGAATTGGCAAAAAATCAAAAAGGTTCGTTAATATTATCGGAATGATAAATTAGTTTTGTCGCTATAGTATTGGGTATATCTGTTAACATGATTAATATGGTAAGGCACTTCTAAAACCATTAAACTGTGAAACCTTAACTGTAAAGCTTTAAGATATTCTATTAAAAAAAAAGTATATGAACTTTTATTACCTATTGAATTAGACATGCCAGTGACTCAACACGGGCAGCTGCTCTTTTCTCCTACAGTCATTTCCTTTACAGGTCACTTACCCGATATCACATAGGGTTAAAGTTAGCATTTGATTGGTTGCAGGTATATATTGTTAGTAAATTGTCACCTGTGTGATGTCGGGCAAATGGTAATGACCGTCGAGAAATGAGACGCATTTCTAATTAAACGGCTTAATATATATATTAAAAATAAGATTTCGGTTGACATGGGTATTTTTGATATGCTTAGACCCCAATAAGATGCGTTTAGACACACTTGTTTAAGTGTATAAACAACATCAAGCAATATTTTACATTACATATTATGTCATAGTTCAAGTTACGGTATGAAGGTTTATGGTTTTATGGATATTAAAGATAATTTCTCTATTGATTAATTGATTTTTATCGTAATTTATTTACAAAATCGTATACGGTTATTACTTTATGATATTTAAGATGTTTAGATTATTTATAGCACTAAAATGTCATAATTCTATAAATTAGTAATTATGTATCATCATGGTTTTCATAAAAAACTGTTTCTAATATTTAACTTGATCATTTATCAGTAATTGTATTTGATAATCGTGGAATTGGAGAATCAACCGTTGTTTCTCTATCTGATCCCATCACGATTGAATTAATGGCTCAAGATACAATTGAATTGATTAAACATCTTGGAATTAAAAAATTTAACTTATTTGGAGGATCTATGGGTGGTAATTAGTTAATATATATTTATATTCGTTTATAGACTATGTTGATTAAAATTTAAATTCTACATGTAAATATTTTTTTATAGGTAATATCGCACTTTGTATTGCCTTGAACATTCCATCTGATCTTAAGTTAGAGAAATTAATAATTGGCTGCGGGTATATAAATAATGTTTTATCGATTTATTATTCCAAGTTTACTAAAATGCACCTATGGTGTTCAACACCATAGGCCCCTATTTCTCAAAAACGTACTAAGTAAATGTGATCAGGTACTCTAAGTAAAAATGTTCAGAATCCCCAAAAACCTTACAAAACCTAAAATTGGGACTTTATACTTAACATATGTTATAATATATAAAAAAAAAAAAATTATAAAAATGTACCCTAACCCTAAATTTTATTTAAAACAATTGTTGAACACCATATGTGCATTTTATAATAATTGTATTATTCATATTTTGAATTAATATCCAATATTTTTTTATTTATTGAAGATTTGCTCGATTTCCGACTGGAGAAAAATTTCAAGAAGCTGATAAATATTTTTCATTACCAGAAATGAGCCGTCCTAAAACTATTCAGGAACAAAAAGACATGCTTCTTAAAAGCGAAAAGAATTTTGCTGATTATCTACTTGAACATCCTGATAAATTTGATAAAGTTGCAGAACACTTAGCCAACACTAATGATAGTAGACCATTTGAAATTTATAGTAAATATGTTTTTTATTTAATATTTATCACTAATAGAGCTCTTTAAATTTATTAAGCAATTAAACACAACTAATTAATTTTATTATATTTGCAGAAAGTCAATGGGAGGCAATTAAAAAGACTGATCTTATTTCAAGACTACATATGATCAAAGTTCCAACTTTGATAATTCATGGTGAAGCCGATGAAGTGGTTCCCATTCAAGCGGCTGAGTTACTTGATCGTGAAATCCCTAATACACAGTTTTATAGGATTCCTAATGTTGGGCATAGGTAAATGTTTTTTTTTAAAAAATTTTTTTGTTTAAAAAAAAATCATTTATTAAAAAATTATTCTTGTCTTTATTTAAAAAATTTAGTATTTACGTAATGGCTCCTGAATCTACTATTATCATCAATGAATTTTTAAACAAGGAAATTACGGTAGAGAAATGATGTGCAAATTACAACTTTTGGTTGGTTGAGATCGTTTTCTCGATTTTAACATATCAGAAATTGACCAAGTGTATGCTAATTCTTCGGACCTTTAATAAAAAGATAAAAAGATAATTTCAAATATTAATTAGAATGTTGGTGCATTTTTTACCATCGTGTTATTTAAATTAAATAAATCAGGTCAGAGTTATTTTACACTTAATTTAGGCCAGAGTTATTTCATGCTTAATTTAGGCCAGAGTTATTTCACGCTTAATTTAGGCCAGAGTTATTTCATGCTTAATTTAGGCCAGAATTACGTTAATGTGAATGTGCACGTTAAATGTATGTGAATATGCAATACGCAGGAAAATACGTAAGGGGACATCCATAATTTACGTTAAACCAGTACAGTATTGTATAAAAATAGAGACCTTGAAGATAATTCCATATAGTATTATTTTTGTATTATCTTTAAGTTCCCTATAACAATGCCGGTTTAACGTAAATTATGGACATTCCCTAAAAAAGCACGATATTACGTGCAGCGTTGCACGGAATTCATGCCTTTTTACGTGTTGTAAACATATACAAGTAACTATCGATATAAGAAACCCTCGATATAAGAAAGATTTTTGCAAGTCCCAATTAAAATTCTATAATAAAAAGCTCTTGATATAAGAAAATATCGATATAAGAAAGATTTTGACTGAACCCGGCAACTTTCTTATATCAAGATTCACTTGTATTCTCATGCTATTATATTCAGTATAGCTCCATATACTTACGAACTAATAAGTTTCCGTGTTATATCGTGATATTACAGCTATAATTTCTTATAGGGCATTGTTTCAATTGTATTTTATTATAAAGTTATACATAGCTATAATTGCAGACTCCTTAAAAAAAATTTAAAAACTGCTAAATTTCATCACCTGCTACTTCATAAGTTACTCGACACCATCATCACAGAGAAGTATTATTTGACGCCTGCAAATTTTCTAATTGATTTATTATTTACATAAAATAGCGCATTTTTTTTGTCGAATTGCAATAATTGCAACAATAACTGATATTAAAAAACCTATCCCACCAGCACTAATTCCAATAATTAAACTATAACTATTCGTAGAATTTGGGTCTTGATTTGTAGTTCCATTACTTGGCGGTAGTGGTACAAATTTAGTAAGAATCTTTTTGGCTTATATTTAGTATGTTTATTTTTGGTGAATAACTGTCATTATATAAAAAATGACCTGTTTATCAAAATAAATATTTAATATTTCAATGAAAATTTATATATAAACAGTCAATATTAAAATTTGTTAAAACTTTACCGAAGGCAACAAGCATATAATTGTCTACTATCGTTGCACTATGCCCATAAATAGTTAAATTCACAATTGGATTTGAAATGTTTCCTTTAGACCATTGAAACATTGTACTATCTAATATCCACAAATCACCGATGCCTGACGAGTTACTTATACCACCAAAAATTATAACACGACCATCGGAAACTATTAAATGATTAATCGAAGAATCATGTTTCTAGAAATATTATTTTATTGAAATTATTATATGTATACCTAATGCAGCCGAGAAAAATTTGCGAGTAGGTGGAGCTTGACCGGATGTAACCTAATATGATATTGAATTTTAACATATGATCAAGTAGCACATTATAATAAAATACTCTTAAATTATCAACCGTACACGCTTTATAGAAGTTAATAATAATAAGCGTCATATACCTTATTTTCCCACGTATCAAATTTTGTGTCATATATCGGTAACTATAAAGCATTATTAATAAAAACTGAAGGGTCAATTTTATTAAAAGACACCCACTTACATTATCCATTGGCATAAAATTGAAAGTGAAATCCTGTCCACCAATATATAAAACATGCCCATCAGGCAAGACTATTGCACAGTAACCTTGCAACCCTGCTGGTGTGTTTGTTGCATTGCTTAAACTCCATGATAGTATTAATGTGTTAAATACCCAAAGATCATCCGTGGTATTCAAGCTATTATTCCCACCATTTCCACCGCCAAAAATAACAATCAAACCTTGATTAAATCCAGCACATGAGAGATCTTGTCTATTTACAGGCTCACTTCCGTTGACTGTGATATTAATCCACTGTGGTTTACTTGTATCAAATTGGTAAATTGGGCCAATATAATTATTTTGTACTTTAAAGCCACCAAAAAAAAAAAAATTGATTGATTATGTTTTCCACCAACACAGGCCGTACCTTGAGCCTTCCAAGGAGCGTAAGGGCCAGCAAGGTCAAACCATGGCATTAAGTTATCAACTGTTGTATTAAACTCTTTTGAAACATCTAAATAAAAGAAATCATTTGTCATGCCAGACTCAGTATATCCGCCAATAAAATAGAGTCTCCTATCGATAAGAACGGAGGAATGGTAATTTCTTTCATCTGGAATGAAAGCTAAAGCAAAAATAAAATTTATATAAAATGCGAAAATGTACAGCATAGTTACGTTATTGTACTAAATTTAAGCATAACAATTTATATCAGTTATATATTTGTAATTCAATCAATTTGTTGTACATGGGGTTTGAGGCACAGAGGTACTAACACGCCCTTAGGATACAGGCTCAATGAAAAATTGCGTGTACAGGGAATTGAATAATTTGCATATGGATAGCAAGTACCATAAAAAGAAAGAATTGGATAATCTGCATATGGATATCATGTACTATAAAAAAATGAAACTGAAGTACATTGTGACAGAGTAAATCGATCCGGAATCTCAAAATATGGGCCTCACGGATATCAACTAATACTAAACTAATCTAAATCAACTCACTAACGACCAAACTCTATCTGAACCCTAATGTTGGAAGGCAGAAAGGAGGCATGGAGAGACTTGGTCCGTGATATTAAGGCTCTATACTACGTCACGAAGCTCTAATTCGGGATCACGGGATTAGCCTACTAATTCTATGCGAATTGGGGGCAATTAGAGCGAAACGATTAGGTTAGGACAATAGACTCTCTATGAGTCAAACTCTAATGAGTTATGCCAACTCTGAGTTTTTTTATTACAACACGAAAGGACTTCGCTTTTATACTTTTTACAAGACTAATAACATACAGATTTTGCTTTTGAATTTGTTCGCTAAAGCGGATAAAGTGACTAAAATTCACTAAAATGGATAAAGCGGATAAATCGACTAAGTTCAATATATTAACTATATTTGGTAAAATAGTAAGATTCAACCCGAACCACCTCGGCAATAAACACCGAATTTATATGCATCCGACCCAATATAAAGTTTTGTTTCAAGCAACAAATCACCCTTTCACAACATACGTGTACAGCAAACAAAAATGAACAAATTGTTAACGGGAAGTAACAAACATCACCCCAAAATCAACAAACATATCGGCTGATTAAAAAATGTACCTAACGCTAATTTGATGTCAAGAGCAACTGTTAAACTATTGTCTTCTCATTCATATTTAAAAACTTTTCCAAAACCTCCTTTACCAATCTCAATGGGGTTTATAAATTTATTATATTCGATATAATTAATATGCCCATCGGAAATGACTTTTTTGAGCCATTTTTCTGGTGTGTTTGCCATAACTTTTTGTACGAATGTACTTAAGTACGTTGTAAAAGTGAGAAATGATCCGGTGTCGCCTCACGAAATATGGGTCTCACGGATATCAACAACCAATAAAACTAATCTAAACAATACTCTAAACTACTGAACTCTATAAACCCTAATGGTGGAAGGCTACGATCGAGGTGTGGAAGACTTAGTCCGAGTTATTAGGGTCGAATAGAGCTCTAGATTACCTCACGAGGCTCTACTTCGGGATCACGTGTTTAGACTACTAACTCTATGCGAATTTCACTTATCGGGGGGGGGGGGGGAATTGGAGCGAAACTTTAAAGTCAAAACTATGAGTCAAACTCTAATGAGTTTTATCAACTCTCGCTGACTCACTAACTCATTTATTATAGATGCCAAAGGCATCGTATTTATAGTTTCTATGCTACTAATAGATACATAGTGGCTATGTTCGCTATGCTATATTCGCGTTGATCACTATGTACAAAATGTACATGGCGTCTATGTACAAATTGTACATGTGTACAAATTGTACATATGTGCAAATTGTACATATGTACAAAATGTACACATCCTATGTACAAAACGTACATGGTTTCTATGTACAAAAGGTACATAGCTTCTAAACCAAATATGCATCTGATCTACTATGTGCGAAAAAATTCATTCCAAGCCATGATTTACCCTTTTACAACGTACGTACTGTACGTATAATATTAGGTCATTTTAATGATATACAAGTTTTCGTTCACCTTCGATAGAGGTGAGCAAAAATGTCCCAATAACATGCATGAAAATGGTTGAGTATTCACATAAGAAGTATACAGTAACAAAAAACATGTCGGCCGACGTTGGTAACTTATCCCAGAATTTATGAAAATAGCTGTAAAGGAAGTATTCAGTCTCTGCCTTGTGTTATTGTTAGGGATGTGTTACATAAATTACAACTTTACATGTAATTTTACGTAAGTTTCTGAAACCCAAATTTCATGTAATTTTACATAAAGTACCGGATTTACAAAAAGTTTGGCCAACATTATTGCATCATTTGATTTGAATGTACAATCCGAATTGTAACTCATAAATCGCCGAAATTTGATCTCAGAAACTTGTTCAAAATTACGATTACATGAAAAATTGATTTACAGAATCTTACGCAAAATTACGTAAAATTACGCAAAATTTCAGTAATTTTACAACCCTAGTTATTGTGCCTTGCAATAATTCAAACCCTACATATAAATTAGAAATTGATTTACAGACGTTTTCATAATTCCTGGAACACCTGATAAAATTTTTGCCGAATGATTTTTCGGCTGATCAGTTAAGTTAGTGGTTTCGGCATAATAGATTTATTATGGCTGACAAAAAATGACCGAATGAGCAATTACGTAATGTACATATCTTGCTAATGACAATGAGTTGGATATATTAAATTCAGTTGCTATTTTATTAGCGACTCCTCGTGTAATATATTTACTAGAAAAACGGCGGCGTTTTGTGGGCTGGAGTCCTAATTCTTAGGCTTTAATTATTAAAATTAGATTTAAAATTTTATAATTGCTTTAACTTTTAGAATTACATTAATAAATTTATAAGTAAAGCAATTTTGCTCTTCTATTAGTCGTTGTTATAA